GGCCCAGGGGACATGCGGAAAGGACTTTCATACGGAGGGGGTCAAAGGGTATGTACAACCACGTTGCGCACCCGGGGGGGGGGGGGGGGGTAAGAAAGAAATGCACGGCAGCGGCGTTACCGGAGATTCATGTTTTGAAAAACCCGCCAGCTGTCGGCGATCTACTCTCTCTCTCTCTCTCTCTCTCTCTCTCACACACAACAGCAACAATGGCTGGACGGCGGGGAGCGCTGCCACCGTGAGGCGGGGGGCTACACAGCAGTGTGTAGTCGCGCGAATATTCCTCACCAACATCAACGTGGTTCAAAAATACTCGCGTGACATGACACCGTTTGCCGGAGCTGATGCAAATTGGCACAAAAGACCGCCGTACCATGCACATTTTATGTATGTATCTGAACGGCACCGTTTACGAGTAACGCATGTATCTGAACGGCTGCTCGGCGGGTGACTGCGTCGAGAAACACGTTTGAATGTTTAAAACACTAAGCGGTGGCAAGCGTCGGTGTGCGGCGAGGTGGGGGGGTGGTATCCTACGTTTAACGTTTGTGTGTGCATGTTCACAACATGCACATCTGCAACACCAGCAGTGCGTCTTGCGTCTCCTCTATGTCCTCACGGTTCCTCACACGAGCAAATTACAACAAGCATGGTGGCGTTCGTCCAACACACAGCCGCATCGCGAGCAGCAGTAACTGCTTGGTCGATGCCTCCTTCAGCCGGACCAGTTGCTTTGACAAACTACATGTCGCACACATCATCCCACCAGCGCATCTCCACCGCAACGCCATAGCCCCGCTTCTTCTCCCGTCGACCCGCGACAGCAGCATCGAAGAGCCCGGTGAAGTCCACCCTTGGCCACTCCTCAAAGCGAATGCTACAAGCAGCAGCAGCACGCTGGCCGCCGTAGACAGCTTCAAGGACGCCGCACAACGCTGCTGCTGGCGCGATGTAGATGCAGTACACGACACCACCTCCAGCAACCCTCGTTCCTTCTCCTCACAAGGGCCACCAATATCAAGCAGGGGATGGGGACCTTGGCGGCCGGTTGGCATGGTTTGTGGGGAGTAAAGGTACTGCTGCTGCCTGCTGCGCTCGGTGAATGGTCGGTCTGCCCAAACCATCAACACAACAAACAAAACCTTCGGAGCTGCCACGAGGTGACCCCCCCCCCCCCCTCCCTCCAATTATCCTTCGAGGTGCCTCTCCTGAACCTGCCTGCTGCCTGCTCTGCTGTGCTGCTGCCAGACCACACCAGGACGGCAACAGGGACACACGAGAGCTCACCACCGCCAATCCAAGCCTTACCTCTTCCTCTACCAGCCACAGCAGCACTTCGAGGAGCGGAGAGCTAGGAATCATGGGTGGCGATGGCGGCGGCGGCAGCGCCTTGAAGGACATCATGTCGGGGACCGTGGCTGGCTTCGCGCAAGTAGCAGTAGGTGAGAAGCGGTGTGTACGAATCATGATTGGATGTTGGTTGATCCTCTCCTTTGATTTGATTCTGTCCCTGGCGACTACTGAAGGCCAGGAGAGATGGCTACCGTTTTCTGTCTGTCTGGGCGTGGGTTGTCAAGCGTTAAGGGACGGGGAGCAAGCGGCTGTCCGAGGCGTGCGGCTCCGGCACAGACCCCATGGTCGCGGGGGTGCATGCATACGTATGCTACTCAAGCCCGAGTAATTACGTAATCACCGATGATACTGCTGTATTTGCTTCTCCTGTTGGTTTCGAAGTTGTCTCGAAAGTGCAGGGATACTACTGCTGTACGTGTCTTGCAAGCGAGCGTATGTAGAGTCTGAAAAAAGCACGGCGTATCCTTGACACTCGTTCGTGCCAGTCACCAGTGTGACCCACAGCTTTGCTGTGTGGAACTCTTGTCCTACCTGCAGCAGCGTTGTATCCGTGCTGCTGCCCGTGCTTCGAACAACCAACGGACGGGAGATTTCATCACGAAGCGTTCCGAGTGTGGGCCGGCCTGTCAAAGACAAACCTGCTGCTGCTGCTGCTGTGAAGCATAGGTTGATGCTCCTGTTGTCTCCACCGCGACTGCACCTTGCGGCACTCATTGCGTTCGGCACCCATCGTCGTTAGGCCGTGCTTACTCTACTGGTACAACCTCAGCAGTGTAAAACAGCAGTGAAGTACTTCTCTGATACTGACGTGCTGCTTTCGACTACACACAAGGATCCCTTTATAAGCACACAAGCCCATCATGTACGGAAACCCTCCGCGTCGATGCGGGGCGTTCGATCGCAAGTACAACATGCGGCATGAATGCAGCATTGAATGCAGCATGCACCCACACGCCCAAACAAAGCTTGCTTGCGACACAATATGTCTTCGTTGTCCGCCATCAGACGGGCAAATCTTGCGCAGTGGTACGAACACGTCGTCGCACACCACATTGGCATTGATCCCGTTGCACGATCATGCCGCATGTATCTACTGCTTGTAGCCTAGGCTACCCAGGTTAGTACAATACGTAGACGTGATATCTACCACGGCTGTCGCGCACGACGTTTATTTGGACTTTTGATTAAATGGAGACCTGCCTCGGGCGGCATTCAGTTCTCTTCCTCTGCAGAACACACGACATGCCACCACTTAAGGGCGTGGTGCGTTTGAGCTATTCTTTGGATATTGTATAATAGGGATGGGTTCTGGAGTCACTTGTACAGTAAGTCGGAGGATGTAAGGTACAGGGGGCGTGGAAGAGGTACATCGACATATACCATACTTGTCGAATTTACCGCCGTCAAGGGACAACGGACATTGCCCGAACCAATCTTGGGATCTGCTACATACACACGCAACGCATCAACGTCGCCAGGCGGCGCGGCCGAGTGTTTTTGGTGGTATTTTATGCTGGAGTGCCAGGGACAGGCTGTTTGTTGGATCGTGGTACACAGGTCACACATCATGTACGGCACCCGAGGGAGGCGAATGATTCACAAGGTATTTACGCATGTCCTGGAACAGGAGATGTTCGCTAAAAGAATGATTCACAGTTGGCGCGAAGGAGGCTGAAGCCTGCTGCGTCGCCAAGGAAGAAAAGTGTTGCCCTAAAACCATATCTATGGAGCAAAGCTCTTCCTTATAGTGTGCAAACATCCGCGTTGGTGTACTTTTGCCTGGCCGGCTTCACGTACCACCTTTCCGAGCGGGACCCCCAACCCCTACTGCCCGACAATGGCTTACTTCGAAGTTAAATAATTTTGCCCCCCCACCCCGTGGGAACCCGTGGGAACCGCCCCCCCCGGTGTTTGCCATCGGGGTTTGGGTTTTCGTCGCTTGGCAACGACGTTGTAAAACAAGCCAATTCACTTCGTGAACTCGGCAACCAGGTTACCGTTTTTTTTTTTTACCTCGTTTTTTTTTTTGGGCGGTAACCATAATGGTGGTCGAGTAGATCATGTTGTGCGGGGTCGAGAAACCTCACTCCGCGCAACGGGGGATGATCGCACCTCGTTGTGTTAAAATGGTCAAGCTTCCTCGAGGCAGTTACACAGCGCTTACAACTGTCTCTGGAAGTGAAAGCACCAGAAAATAAATTAAGTCATACGTAGCTGTCATCCGTACGCAAGGAAGTAAGCACAAGATGCCGAACACCCTTAGCAGGATGCAGCTCACCCTTCATGCGACTCGCCAAATACCTCACGGCGCTTCGCGCTTGGTGATGTGAGAGCCTGGTCCGGTGAGAACCCGGCGTGCTCCGTCCCGGCTTTGTAGGGATGCGAGGTCAATGGTCAAACGACTACGGCATGCACGACTATGAGTACACCCCCCCACCCCGTGGGAACAATGCTCCGTGCTCTCGAGGACACGTTGTTGAACGGTCTAACAACTAACAATTAAGGCATGCACAACATGAGTATCCCCCCCCCCCCCCTCCGCGCGCGCGCGCCTCCCCTCTGCGCGCACCCTGGGCTTGCAATCGTTCCAAAGGGCACCCCCTGGACACCATCAAGGTGCGGCTCCAGACACAGTCCAGCACTAACCCGGAGTTCTCGGGCATGGTGGACTGCTTCCGCAAGACGATGGCGCGAGAGGGGGCTTCGGGCTTGTACGCGGGGGCGGCGGCGCCGCTGTGGGGGGCCATGGCGCACAACGCCGGCGTGTTCTTCAGCTACGGCATGTCCAAGAAGGTCGTTTTTTTTGTGGAACATATGCATAGCGCTTGTGCAGTTTATTCGTGCGTTTTTGTTTGTGTTCCCTGCTTGTTGGTGTGGAGTGGTGTGGTGTAAAGGGTAATGTATTGTGTTTGCCCTGCTTTGTTCCGGTTGCGCTGCCGTGGTGCTTTGTGTGCTGTGTGTGATTCGTTGTATCCAGCGTGTCTTCCCTCTGGTGTGTGTTGTATTTCCTCCGCTCTGTCATCCGCCGTGCGCCCCCTTCTTGTTTACCCCTTTTGTGGGATACAAATCGTCCTTCGAATGGATGCCTAATTGAGAAAATGAAGATGATTTCTCCAGGAAAAGAGGGGATTCTTGATGTTTTTAACCGTTTGCGGTCCCTGTTGACGTTTCTGTTGTTGTCATCGTTAATTGATGGTTGGGGGCGCATATATCACGGACGTAATCCAGCGTTTCTTGCTCCATTCTCGTCTTCCAGATTGTCGGGGGCGGGAAGGAGCTGACGATCCCCCAGTACTACGCTGCCGGATCTCTGGCGGCTATCCCTATCTCGGTGGTGGAGGCGCCAGTGGATCTGTTCAAGATCAAGCTTCAGGCACAGGTACGGCGGTGTCGTCGTTGGTGCTGCTGCTACTGCCGCTGCCGTTGCTGTTGTGGTTGTCGTGATTGTTGGCGGCGGTGGTTGTGTTGTTGTTGTTGCTGCTGCTGCTGCTGCTGCTGCTGCTGCTGCTGGTATCGTTGTTGTTACCGTTTCTGTTGTCGTCGTTGTTCGTGTTTCCCACATGCGCGAACGAGGAAAATCCGTGCCGATAGAGCTCCACGTGAGGTTCGTCTTTGGTGACAATTTTATCGGGTGTTTTGTGTACGTACTAAATAGGGTGCTTTCTCTCGGCAGGCAACAAAGCCCCCCCCGGGGCGCCTCGTCGAAAATACTTCACTTTGACGTGGTGTGTGTTTGTTTGTGTGTGTGTTTCCATACCTACAGGGACACGAAAAATCTACGTAACAGTTCGGGCAGCGGCAGCATCAGTCGAGGCCATGTAGTCGTCGTTGTTGTACATGTGTTTGTGGTGTGTGTGTGTGTCGACGGTGTTGATTTTTCCCGCCTACCTACCTGTACACGAGAGCGAGCTGGATTACCTCTACGTACCAAAAGCGGACCACAGCGTCGAGGACACTGCTGTCTTATATGTGTACAACTGTTTTTTCTTCTTTGTATGTCGTATTTCGGTGTTGTGTTGCAGGTGGGCAAGGGCGAGTACGACGGGGTGTTCGATTGCGGCAGGAAGATCTTCAAGTCCTACGGCATCAAGGGGGCGTACCAGGGCTTCTCCGCCGTCCTCCTCAGGAACATCCCTTGCTTCGGCGCGTACTTCTTCTGCTTCGAGGTTCGTCCCACATCTTCAAGAACGGGCGGTAGATAGCGGTGACAAGAGGGTGAAGAATACGAAACCATGTGGTGCGCTCCTCAACAATGCGGTATATTTGGGGATTTGAGGAAATAAAAAAGACATACGGCGTTGTTGTTGTTTTTCCTGTGGCTTGCTTTTTGTCCGTTGATGTATTCCGCGGAACTAGACCCTCCGACTAGTCAGCGCTGACTAGTCGGATGGTCTAGTTCCGCGAATTAAAAGATATGCTCTGAGCTCGTTAGCACCCGGCCGGATCACATGGGCTTGAGGCTATTTGCTGCTTACTCGTTGAGAGGAGGGATCTCCGGGGCGTACCCCTCGCCATCCGCTGCTGCTCTGTCAATGGTAATTCTACGCAAAGAAAAGTGATCCGGCCGGTATTCGAACTCGTGCGGGTATCCTTTAATTCTCGGAACTAGACCATCCGGCTAGTCAGCGTAAACTTCCAAGTTTTCAAAAGCATTGCGTCGAGTTGTTTTGTTCTGCTTGGACGTTGGTTCCCGTCTTCGCAGTGCACTTCTTCGATCAGGTAAAAAGGCATTGGTTCAGTTCTTTATTGATTTTTGGGGCCGTTTGGTTTTTCCCGAGGTGGTCGCAGACAGCCGACAGGCTGTTTTCGCGTGCTTAAGAGCGTGTTGTTCTTATCCTTCCCCTGTGCTGGCGAGCTTGCGCTGTCCTTCCGTGTATTTGCAACTTCTCTACCTCTCGTATTCAGGACTAAACGGACATGACCGGACTGGACTGACTTTGCCGTTGTCGTTGTCGTTTGTTGTTGTCTCAACAGGGAACCAAGCAGGCCTTCACCAAGCCAGGAGAGCAGCCTTCGCTCACGACCTGCTTCGCCGGGGGCGCCGCGGCCGGGGCCGGGTTCTGGGGTGTGTGGTACCCCCTAGAGACCCTCAAGACTCGGATGCAGGTGGGCGTCGGGAGGGGGCACGCGTATTTTGTTTTCCGATGGTTCGCCGTCGAAGGGTTAGCTTTTTGGGGTCCTCGTGGTCGCGCTGGCAACGAAGGAGGGGGACACGGGAGAGAGAGTAAGAGGGTATCTCGTCCCCCCTTCCCCTGGCTGCACGGCGTAACCCCCCCCCCGCCCTTCGTGAAATATATTCCTAGCCATATGTTCCCAATTAAGACAGACGGCAGGCCTTCGCACGCCGTTCAATAGGTGTGCCGTCTCGGCTCTACGGTGGCTCATGTAGCGAGAGCGACGAAGAGAGGGCTGTCGAAATTTCGCAGGGCATGTGTTCTCAACGAGAACAACGCGTTCACCCCCCCCCCAACCCCCAACCCCCTCAAATACGTTCGACCAGGGCAACCACGTGATCCGGTCCGAGAGACCCTATCGCTGAGGGGCTAACCCTACCAGTTGCCGTGTGAACCCAACCCTAGACTTGAATCGGTCTTTGTTCTGGTACCAGGATCACCACCATGTGGACCGATCCAGCCCTATTATCACGAAACCCGACGCTAATCCCAACCTTAGCCCTTGTGCTTCATTTAATCCCCACGCGTTCATCCCCATCCTTAAACAAAAACTTGATCGGCGGCGGGGCGGCGGCGTGCGCGTTTTTTTCTCGTCACACCCAGGGCGACCACGTGGACCCGTCCAAGAGACTGTACTCCGGGTTGGTGGACTGCTTCAAGAAGACCATGGCGGAGGGGGGCGCGGCGTTCTACAAGGGCTTCACGCCGTCCATCACTCGGGCGATGCCGGTGAACGGGGCCATCTTTACCGGGTTCACCGCGGCGCAGAGAGCGCTGGCTTGATCGAGGGGAAACGGCTGTTGTTTTGATCGGCGTGCGCGCGTGTGCTGCGCGCGTTCCCTGCCCACACCGGGCCTATCTGTCTGCAGCAGTACGAACGAAATGGAACCGCTCCTGCTGCTGCTGCTGCCGCTGGAACGGCAAGATGCCTTTGCATGCGGGGGGGCATGAGCGAACACAGTTCGTTGTGCCTTGCGAGGGTGTCGGGGTGGGCGGGTGAGTTGGGGGACGATGACGGTGGTGTAATGATGGGACGTCTGTGCGAGCGCGCCGTCGCTTTGCGCTGGATATCGCGCCCGTCAGGCGGTGGTATTTCTTGTACATGTTGTTGTGTCCCGGTCGCCCGCCTTTTGCGTGACAAATCAGGTTTCGTTCGTTCCTTCTGTTTTTTTTCTTCTTTTTTTGTGATTTCTGTTCTGTTTTTTTTTTTTGCTCTTTTGTGATTTTTTTTTTTGTTCTTCTCGGTCGTTCTTGTTGCTGCTGCCGTAGAGGGAAACATAACAAAAGTACGAAACAAACGGAGCGGAAAATGAAAAAAATGTTCTAGAGTGGTGAAAAAACGAGGACTAGCAAAAATCACATCACATTTTTGAGCCGCAGCCGCGCCTGCGGCGGGCGGGCGGGCGGGCGGCGTTGAGGCGCCTGGGAGGTGGGGGAGGCGGAATCCAAACATGCATGTATGTTTCTTGGTACAGCGTTTTATTTGTGGAATCGAATCGAATGGCAAGAGCTTGAGGGGGTGTCGTCGTCGCCCCCTGGAAAACGTGGAAGAAAAAGCAGGAAAACATTTTGGGAGGTTGAAACGCGATGAGTTTTTGTAGCGGAAGGATTTTCTTGGCCATGCCTCTGCCAAAAGCATTAGGTGGTTTGGACGATAGGGATGGGATACATACGAGACGACGACAACGATGACAGCTGGTTTTTCTGTTTTAGCAAAAACGTGTTTTAGTCGGGCTTGGTTTCGGTTGGTTGGAAAGATGAGCGAGGAAGAAACAGGCCCGTCGTTTTACGCCCCGTCAGCGGAACCCTTTGCTGCGCGCGCGACACTGCACCTAGCTAGGCGTTTTGTGCGATTCGACTGAAAAAGAGTCGGCTTCTCTCGTCGTTGGTCTCGTTGGCAGGCAGAGTGTAATACCTTGCCGGCTTTTCGGCTGGCTGTGTCGGTGTTCAGAGCACTTTATTTTTGCCACCAGTAACATTTTTTTTTTTTTTTTTGCTGCGTGGAGGGTTGTGTAGGCTGTCTAACACCTTTGCGGTGGCTGCTTGCCGCCTACTACGCGCACGGTGTTGCAGGAGCATCTACGTCAGCTCCCCACGACCAGAGAAGTCAAGTCTACACAGACACTGCTGTTGCTGCGCACCGCGGCGTGTGGATACGCCGCTTTCGGTGGTGGGAACGTGTGTGTGGGTTGCCACTTTTTTTGGACGGCGTGCCCTCGGCGGGGTTTCGCTCTACCGTAATAGTTCAAGGAAGAACACATTTCCTTTTCGTGGTGTTGGCGGACGAATGGATGTGCATCTGCGGTCATAGACGCCCCGCATCGGCGGCGGTCCCGTGTTGTACAACACAGGTGGGAGTTACACAGTTCATGGAAGGAACGTGAAAGCCCTCTGATCTTCTTCCCCCCCCCCCCCACCCCCCCCGTTTAATGGCTGGGAAAAAAAAAATCAAACTTGATCGCCAGCTCTCCTGTTGTTTCCCCCACTCCTGTTGTGCCCGCCCTGAAGTTATTTTTGAAAAAACTTGATTGCCCCAAACCTGGTTTATTATGGTCCCCCAACAATGGACATAAAAAACACCCCCCTTGTGTCTTATTGCCCGGGAGGGATTGCCCCTTGTCTGATTGGAATGCCCCTCCCCCACAAAGACCCAACTGCGCCCAACTAAGCC